AGCTTTTACGTGCTGTGAAACAGGCACTCTAGAGGCTCCTTGAAAATGTATTGTATGGTAATGTATGCATACTATAATAGCGAAGAACAATGACTTGTAGTTACTGAAAAGAAAATCACTTACCAAGTTAGGTTTTGCTACTTTGTTGAAAGAATCCTAAGTATGATTGGAGGGTGGTTTTCAAATTCCAGGTTAATTTTATTTTAACTTGTTTTCTTGCAATTTGTGATAATTTTGAAAGATAAAATAAATTATTTTCTAGTAAAGTTATTGTAGGACACTGAAGAGCCAAAGTCTTCTCACTCTGGATTGCTGCACCATTCTCTGGGTGTTCTGTGCTGTTGGAAAGTCTTTGAAGCTGATTAAGGTTTGGCATGCACACCACAGATTTGTTAGAGAGATAATTTTCAGGTCAGGGGTTACATGCACTATTTAGTTTAATATTTGAGGGCAATCAGTACTGTACATAGTGCAAGACACTCTAGAGAAAAAGTGGGATTATAAGGGAAGAGAGGGACTGGAGTGTATGTGTGTGGTAAAGGCAGACTTCCCCCTTCAAGCAGCTTAAAGCAACTTAAAGGCCACTTGTCTCCACAGACTGCAATGTCCAAAAGTCAGTGTGGAGTACAATGAGGAATTTCATAAATGTATGGGAATGTGTGGTAGATGCCGTGCTCTGTGTGAACAGGTTGTGGCAAATCAAGAGTCTAAGAATAGCTACTATCAGTAAAGATACAATATTACACAGAGCAATCTGCCAGTTTATATTTTTTGAAAAACATTTTGAGTAATGTTCAGTTTCTACTTATTTTCAGCCCTGGCATCCCTGATAAGGTGATTGTGAGGAGAAAAATCGCCTAAAACTAGCATAGTAAAAACACCCAAAACAAGACAATGTAGTGTATTAAACTTTATCAAATATGGTATGAGAGCAGTGGTGTAAGTGAAGAACGTGACTCAAGAAGTTTTCGGAATGTGTGTTGGTTAAATTGAGAATGTGATTCTTTGAAGATTAATAGCTGTAGAACAGATTCCTCCTTCCTGCCCCCCTTTTTTTTTTCCTTTTTTCTTCCTTTTCATTGCTCTGCCACTCTCATTTTACCACATTTGCCTTTGGGATAACAGATTTTATTAATTCTCTTTGAGTTGAACAGGTACCTTTGATGTAGCTGATTAAAGTTGATTTAAACAAAGTACTTGTATAATTTAATGGATGTCCACAAAGTGAACCAGAAGATAATGTTTTTCTTTTAGGACCAATTACTAGAAAAGAGCAACCCATTGCCTCCTTTTTTATCTGAAAAACTAGTAAAACTTAAAACTTCCAGCCAGTTTGCAGAGGTGTAGTGAACTTGCTTCAGGCATCTAAGTGGGAGGTTTAGCTTGTGCTTGTGAGGAGAAAATAGACTTCCCTCATCTAAGGTTTGTTTTAAAGAGCTATTTCTCTGCATTAACAGATGGAGCAGATGGAGTCTGAATGTTCCTTGGTTGTGAATACAAGCAAACTCTTAAAGTAGTTTGTGCTTGAAATAATTTGCTAGCTGTGTTGTAGCATTTGAAATTATCAGAGGGGATCTTTAAAAGGCTTAAATATTTTAAGTCTATATTGGAAAAAATAGATGAAGTTGCCACAGAATAAATACAGAAGTCTAACAAACTTTAAAACTCTAGCAACTAAAATAGAAATAAAAAACCCCAAAACATTAGCTTATTTTTTTAATATTTGAATGCCTACCATTACTGCTTCTCAGTTGAAAAAAGTGAAGACATTTTGAAAATGTAAATAACATTTTGAAAAAAGTAAATTAAAAAAACCCCAACCCATCTGTTGTATAGCTATAGAACAAATAATCAATATGTTTATTGCTATTTCAGAAGTTTTTGAACAAAATCTTGTTATGAGAAATTGGAACTTCCATTTGCTATAGCTCCCCTTATGTGTCTGTGATTGGACTTATCTCCCTGTCCTCTGCAAAGGCTGGTGACCACTTGGCTGATTCAGACCAGCTGAGATTCCTTTTTGGAAGATCTAAGACATTGTACTCGGGGCTCAAATAAAGAGGAGAGGGTTAATAGCCATAACATGGTTACCTAAAACCTTTTGCAATGCTGTGAATGTTGTATTTTGTACAGTTGTGTTGGTACCCGATTAGAGGAGCTTTTTCCATACAGAATATCAGTCCGGAAAATGTAAGATTTTAAGTGCCTTGATAGCAGTTCAGAGATTCTTTACTTCAAATTCTGTAGTAGTGAATGTGCTACTGTGTTGCCCCTCCTACCCAAATTTCTGAAGATGCTGTCTCATATCAAATGAAACTAGTCAGTAAAAATTGACATTATTTCATAAGTGCACTCTTTTAGGAAGAGTCATCTGTGCCTGCTAAGTCTTAGTATTGCAGAAGGCCCCGTGGTCCATTAAATGAGAATTGGACACAGGCTTTCTACATGAGCAGGTGCTCAAAACCCTTCAGAAAATGTTGCAAGAGAACGGTGAGGATGTGCCGTAACAGGTAAGGTTATATAAGGTAATATAACTGCAGTGCAATGAACAGTGTGTTATTTCTTCTGTCTAATGTGTTAATTTAGGAGAATGATGCTAAACAGAAAGGAAGAGATCAGTTAGGTTGTTTTTCCCCCTCCTACTCTTCTTTGGACTTGGAGTGACATGTTATAAAAGACATTGGTGCTGTACAAAGCTGCTTGGTTTAGAACCAGCGGAAAGAGAACAAGCATGAGGAGTGCTGCGTGTTCCTTTTCAATAAAGACTTGCTGTACCCAGGGTGGTGGAGCAGCTGATAAAAAGAATTTGGTTAGTACTGGTTCAGTTAATTGATACTGTTCTGGTATTGTAGCATACAATATAAATAGTGTGAGCTGTATTATGCTGTCTTTTAATGCATCTGCTTGCAAAAAATAAAAAGGGTGTGCATTGCCATCTGATTATTCTTTGATTTCCCTACTGAAATATTTCTCTGATGCTACTTTTTAAAGATTAGATGTTTAATAAGTATAATGTGCTTTGCCTTTTATAAGTGCTCTCATGGGATTTAATTTATAATTGTCAGTTTCTCACCTGATACATTTTGGATGTTAATAGATTTCATCTGCATTTTGAATGCTTTCCATGCATTTCCAGTAAAGTAGGTGTTGAATTGTATTTTTAAATGAAATTTTAGAAAAGTCTGGATGACTTTATTCCAGAGTTTAAATATATTTAAACTAACCAAAGTGACTGATTTGAGATTTCTGGTTTTGTGATTGTGTTGTCCCTGACCTAACTTGCACCTACTGTAGAACGTGTACAAGCATGTTGATCCTGTAGTGTAGCAATAGCTCTGTGCTGCTAACACCCTGTGTGTTGTTTTTATCATTTGTGTGATTGTGGGGAACAATGATGCTAAACTTCATTTGAGGTTAGCATCAGGTTAAATACCAGTGTTTGATTATTACTGGTATTGGGTAACTAAATCTAGACAAAATGGAATTAAATCTGAAATGGCACATTCCCTTAAATATTGTGAGAAACTGCATTGTTTTATTTTTGCCTTCCCAAAATCTGCTCTTGAATGAAAAGGTATTCTTTCCCTTAAAAAAAAAAATTTTTTTGTTCTTGTGGGTTTTTTTTACCCCCTGTTGGTCAGAATAAACAAAAAAGCAGCAAAGTTTGTTCCTGTATGCTTGTCCAGTTCATGGCCCAGATCTAAGCTGGGGGAAGATCCTGTGTAGGTCCCAAATAATATTAATTGCTTCTAATATGTGCAGGCCTTAGAGTTGACCATTGTGTCCATTGAGCAGGATGTAGAAGTGCCCAAAACCCACCTGTGTCTATTTGGCTTCAAAACACAGGACAGTCTTGCTGCCCAGTGCATGACAGACAAGTGTGTTGATGGTTCTTGCCATAATGGCTTCCTTGAGTGCTGTTGGAGGAAAAGGTCTGCCTTGCCCGTTCTCCAAAATGTCCATATTTTACAGCCCTTGGTTCACAACTGGGGCATTCACAGCGTTTGAGTGCTTATTAATAATGGATTTGAGTGGCTGTGTAAAGCACCCTTCTGGATCCTAGGAAGGGATAATCTTCATGTAACCTTCAGATGTGCCTACTGTTGTTGTGAGGTAAACGCTCCTGTTTTACAGCAAAGATGGTTTCATGATGCTGTTCACAATCAAAAATCACAGTAATAATGCATCTAGCTCAGCTAATGAACAGAATTCCATTAGTAATGATGTTTAATATTTATATGTCAAACTTTATAAATGTGGTATGTCCCACTGGAACACACATAAGATTTGAACTAGATCTAAGACTTAGAAGCACGGTAGCACCTCACAGTGTGATGCTTGGCCAACGCCAAAGTTTATTTCCAGCTCTGTTGTACTGCCTCAGAGCACGTATCTTCCAATCTTCACTCTGAAGCTGCAATTTGAAACTCTCACTCCATTTTATATAAAGGTAGCTATTAAAAAACGTATGTATAAAAACCTTTTCTGTTACAGGGCAGAGGGGTTTTCCCCATCCCTTTGACGCTAGTGAAAATCCAGTGTCTGCTGTAATTCTGAGCCTCCTGCCAGCCGAAGAAAAGCTGGGTCGTAGGCAGGAGATTCCGGGCGCCGTGGTTCGCTCTGTGTCAGCAGGTACGGACAGGGGCAGCGTTAGCAGCATTGCTGGGAGATGGAGAGGGTGAGAGGGTCACGGAATCCCAGACTATCCTGATTTGAAAAGGATCCACTAGCATCGTGGAGTCCCACTCCTGGCCCCGCACAGGACACCGAGGAATGACACCATGGGCCTCAAGAGCGTTGTCCAAACGCTTCTAGAACTCGGTCATTCTTGGTGCAGTGCCCAGGGAAGGCTGTCAGAGGTCAGACACCTCACTGCAGTGCCCAGGGAAGGCTGCCAGAGGTCAGAAATCCCACTGTACTTTCGCCGGGTTTGGGGCATTTTTGGGGGAGCGCGGCGCGCGGGCGGCCGCAGCCCCGCCCCCGCTCTCGGCGAGCGGCAGCGCTGCCTGCCTCCCGCGGCCGGCGCTCGACGCGCGCTGCCTGGCGCCGCCCGGGCCGCCGCCGCCATGGCCACGGAGGACGAGATCATCCGCATCGCCAAGAAGATGGACAAGATGGTGCAGAAGAAGAACGCGGTGAGCGCCGGGACGGGACGGGGCGGGAGGCGGATCGGCGGCGGTGCCGCGGGCCCCGGTGCGGCCCCGGCCGGCCCGGCGCTCCCTCCTTGCCGCGGGCGCGGGGCCTGTCCCTTCCCGCCGCCGCGTTTCCCGCGCTGCCCGGCGGCCGCGGCGCTTCCCTCGCCGCCCCGCGGGGCTGCGGCGCCTCCCCCGGCCCCGCCAGAGGAGGGGGGACGGCAGCCGGCTCTGCTCCCCCGCGGGGCGGCCCCGCCGCCCTCGCTCAGCGCCCTGGGCCGAGAGGAGGTTCCCGCCCGGGCACCGGCCCTGGCTGGGAGCGCCCTCCGCTTCCTGCTCGCTGGAACCGCGGTGCTGGCCTTGGCGGGGAGAGAAAGGCTGTCACCCCCAGGAGAACGCCTGCCGACATGGCCCCTGTACGTGGGGTGCTGTCGCTTTTAGGTGTGAAAGGTGGAGTTTTAGGTGGGATGTAAAAACTAAGGTGTGAGTGAAGAGCCCAAACCCAGCTGCGGGAGGGCCAGAGTTGAGTGGGCAAACTTCACAAACAGGTGAAGAATGTGAGCCTTTTTTCTTCCTTTTTTCTTTTCTTTAACCTGCAACATTTCTAATTATGTTTCTTAATCTGGGGAATAACTGGTGCCTCAGAACCAGGAGGAAGAATATAGTTAGGCAGGATTCAATTGGCTTAGCTCAAGTGTTATTATCATGTATGCCCTTCATAAAGAACTGAGGTAACATATGGTCTTTATATGGTGCCTGCAAACACCTCAAAGTAAGTAAAATCAGTGTGTAGAGCAACAAAACCAGATAACTGATCATGGTTATACATAAAATAGCATGCAAGTAAGTTGTCAACCCTGTTTACTATTTCTTTATCAGGTGGGCACATTGTTATTCTCTGGAAATTTGTGCTTGTATATGTGATTGTTGTTCTTCCTGCAAAGTACTATTATGTACATAAAGTTTTGTTCTATATGTTATGATAGTGCATGAAAAGCTTAGTAACAGTAATAGTTCAGAACTCAACACTGTGTGTGCAATTCCACTTTATAGAAGTAGTTTTGTTTTGCTTAATACTGGAGAATATAAAGAGCATTATTAATAATATTTGCATATTTGTAGAAATACTGGCTGTATTAAACCAAAGAGATTTGTTTAGTTCAGAATGCAAACAAATTCATTGTCAGTACACAAGCCGTGCTTCAATCCATAAAGGCTGGGAGCGCCCTCCGCTTCCTGCTCGCTGGAACCGCGGTGCTGGCCTTGGCGGGGAGAGAAAGGCTGTCACCCCCAGGAGAACGCCTGCCGACATGGCCCCTGTACGTGGGGTGCTGTCGCTTTTAGGTGTGAAAGGTGGAGTTTTAGGTGGGATGTAAAAACTAAGGTGTGAGTGAAGAGCCCAAACCCAGCTGCGGGAGGGCCAGAGTTGAGTGGGCAAACTTCACAAACAGGTGAAGAATGTGAGCCTTTTTTCTTCCTTTTTTCTTTTCTTTAATCTGCAACATTTCTAATTATGTTTCTTAATCTGGGGAATAACTGGTGCCTCAGAACCAGGAGGAAGAATATAGTTAGGCAGGATTCAATTGGCTTAGCTCAAGTGTTATTATCATGTATGCCCTTCATAAAGAACTGAGGTATCATATGGTCTTTATATGGTGCCTGCAAACACCTCAAAGTAAGTAAAATCAGTGTGTAGAGCAACAAAACCAGATAACTGATCATGGTTATACATAAAATAGCATGCAAGTAAGTTGTCAACCCTGTTTACTATTTCTTTATCAGGTGGGCACATTGTTATTCTCTGGAAATTTGTGCTTGTATATGTGATTGTTGTTCTTCCTGCAAAGTACTATTATGTACATAAAGTTTTGTTCTATATGTTATGATAGTGCATGAAAAGCTTAGTAACAGTAATAGTTCAGAACTCAACACTGTGTGTGCAATTCCACTTTATAGAAGTAGTTTTGTTTTGCTTAATACTGGAGAATATAAAGAGCATTATTAATAATATTTGCATATTTGTAGAAATACTGGCTGTATTAAACCAAAGAGATTTGTTTAGTTCAGAATGCAAACAAATTCATTGTCAATACACACAAGCCGTGCTTTAATCCGTAAGGTTCCATAATATGGCATGGTTTAGCTCTGATATATTTGAGCTCTCAAATGATACATTGTGGCAGCAAGACCCTTGTCTAGAGGAAAGAATATTTCATAACTGGCATTTATTAATTCCATTGTTTTCCCCTCATTGTTTTTATTTCTATTCTCCATGCATTTAAGCACAAAAGCATTTGCTGTCTCACTTTCTCTAAAACTGAAATAGTGGCTCTTTCCTACAAGGTGTTGAAAGGGTGAAGACTTACTGACTGAAATGCTTAAATATCACAGTCATGAGACTGATATAGGTCAGCCAACTCCATTTTATTTGTAAAACTTCTGATAACAGAAAGAAAGCGACAGCTCTCAGGTGGCATGAGAATGACTGTTGATTCTGGGGAGTAGCCATAGCAGGGATGCTGCAGGGACGACAGGATATTTCTCTGTGATCTGAGAGGCTTAGGAGTTTGGATGAAATTCCTAACAGCAGCTGGGAACATGTATTCACACTCTAGCATGTGTAACACAATTAACTTCCAGAGCTCTGGGGAGCGCTGCGGTGACTTCCCTGGGGTCAGCGCAGGGGTGACGTGGCTGCACACAGCGGGCACGGCTGTGCCTGGCTGGAGCCGGAGCCGGAGCTGGACCCTCGTGTTCACCTCTGTCCCAGCAGTGAGAGCGAGGGGGCACCGGAGGCGTCGGGCTTTTGTACTGTGCTGGAACAGAGCTCCTTCAGTCGGGCTCCTTGCTGCTCACAAGTGGCTCCTTTGTTAGGCTGATGTTTTCTCCATGAGCTGCCCCTGTGGCCGAGAGTGGAGATCTGACAGTTTGTCCAAAGCACGTGTGTGTAGCATGATAAACACCCTTAGCGGCATCAAAGGAGAGGATGTACTTTAGTGTTCAAACCAGGAGATGTCTCTGTGTTGTTGTTACTACGTCTTTGTCATTTACAAGGTATTTCTTTATTGCACAAAGTGATTTCCTACCTAATTCTGCCCTGCAGTTAAATGATAACTTTAGCAAAATTATTAAGGTAGTCTCTATGAAGAGGTACTTTATTGTCTTACAAAAATGAAGAAGAATTGATAAACGCATTCTTACACAAGTAGCCACTGAATAATGGTGCTCTTGACAACCTCTTGTTCCTTTCTCCATTTATACTCATCAAGAGCAGGTATTTGGTCTGTGTCTTTGAATGAGAATGATTTGATGAGACACATTAATAATATAAGAAAGGAACAAAAGCTTTGATACTTGCTCTCTCTGAAGTTGTCAAGAGTCAGATGACAAGAAATGTTTGATCTCTCATACAAAAGGTGACTCTGGCTTGTCACCTTGCAAAGCACTCTGTGACATGTCTTTTGATGAGTTAAAAGGGCAGGCCATGCAGACACTCATTTCTGAGTCAGACTCTTGGTGATTTGCCTTCACTAAGGATTTAATTGTAGGTGTGCAGATTTCATAACTATTTTAGTGAAATTATATATGCAGTTCTTTTGTTTTGAAGGAGGAGAATCTGATTTAGTATTTAATGCACTGTGCCATACGTATTTCTGCTGTTGCTTCAAATTGAAATAGATTCTACTCCTCCTTCAGAATGTGGTTGGATTAAAACCTGTAGTGCCTTCCTTTGAGCTTCTGTTGTATGTAAGTACACCTTTCTTTCATTAAGCTGCTGTAATAAATAGGTGTGAAAACTAAGGCTGCACCCATGGATAAAAAAAAGAAATCAAGAATGCTTGAGTAAATCTAGAGAAGAAAATAAAATTGTCTGTGTTATTAAATGTATACTCCCTTAAGTAGAATGAAATTATAACTGGATAGCTCTGCTGTCTTCAAAAATGTACTTCATTTTCTATTGCCTGAAGCTCAGCTTTTAAAATATGACTATAGAATATCGTTCTGTGCTGTTGTGGTCTGGCCAACTGAAAGAAGCTGAGAGGAGTAATCTACTGAGTCTGTATGAAGCTGACTTCTGTTGAGTGACAAGGTATATTGAAAGCCAGCCAGCTTAGGAGAATGGGACATTGCCTTTCATTCTCTATAAAATTATAGAAATGCCTTTAAAAGAGGGTTTATAACAATGGGCTTAATGATTGAGGGGGTTTTTTGAACACAGAAGTCCTACATTAGGAGAAAAGCAATTACAAGTTATGCTGTGCAACTTCCACACTAGTTTTGAGATACAGAGAGCATTTGACTTTATGCTAAGAATAGTGATTATGAAAAGCTGTTTAGTTGGTATGAGTTTAAAATCAATTTAAATTTAATTTTAAAGCGTCTAATTCGTGGTGCACAGTATAATTGATTAGAGAAGTGAAGGCTTAGAAAGGATTAGTGCATTATCAATTTTGATAATTTGGTGCAGAAATCAGCATAAAATGTAGATAACATCTGTTAACCTGTTGTTTTTTGATTGGGTTTGGCTTTTTTGTTTGTTTTTGGGTTTCATTTTGTTCTTGTTTTCTCATGGGATTTTTTTGTGGGGTTTTTTTTTTGTTTGCTTGTTTACTTGGTTTTTTGTTTTTTTTCTGGTTTGGTTTTTTTTTTTTTTTAAATTGTTGCATGTCAACCTGCATGTCAACCTGCTATGTATTAAGTTGCTAGTATTGGAAAACATTTACGCTGGGAATAATAAATTTGTTTTCACATGTGCAGTTGGGAAGGAATATAACAGGCAAAGGAATTTTGACTAGGCTGTATTTCTAAGATGAGATGAAGAGAATGCTACTTTGCATTACCGTGTTACTTTCATGTTGAATTTGCAGACTACAATCAGCTGTGTTAATTTTAAAATTACATGCTGTGTACAGTGTGCTAATAACTTAATTTGTTTGGAGATATTGGATTATATTTTTTAAAATGGCACATTGACTTCTGTCATGAGATTTGTAAAATTTTCTTAAACTTGATTTTGTTTTGTAGCAGCGAAGATAATTAACTTGCTTTATTTGGATCTGTGTTTGCACAGAGGAAACCACACTTATGGCTGTTGAGAGAAAGATATGGTTTAGTGTGCCAACTCAATTTAGCACCTGAAAACATTGTGACATTTCTCAGTCTTGCATCATTGCTGCTAAAATTCTGCGGTTAAGACTGGAGAAGTTTTGTATAACATGAATAAAAGTTAAATAGAACTTTTGCTGTCATGGCAAAATAGTAAAATGTTAGCTTTATATGTTAATTTGAATTTATGTAAGGTGGGATTTGGTGAAATGTTTGGATCTGGAGGTTTCTTTGGGTCAGAAGTGTTTGAAAAACAAAGGTTGTAGCCAACATTTGAAGGTGTCCAAAGCTGAGGGTTTTTAGATGTGACCCCAAAGTTCCACTTCCATCTTTCTCAACCTCCTGGTGGCTATTTTATTTGTAGTGGTTAAAGTGTAAGACTGCAGTTGTAGCAGAATATTTTAAGTTTCCTTGCAGCAGATGTTATAATAGAAGTTGATTACGGAGAATTTGAAAAGCAAGCAAAATAAAATAGGATGAGTTAAGAGGTAAGGAAAGAAAGTGAATCAAAGTCCACAGATTTGCAAATGGATATTTTGTGGGATTTATTTCCAAACCTCATGAATTAAAAAAAAAAAAAAAGAAAAGAGGTAGTGAACTGAGCCTGAGTGAACTGAATGGCCTCTTGGATGCACAGGCACTTGTTGCCTCCCTTCTGTTCATAGCTTCCAGGTCTAGCACCACGTGCAGCTGAATAACAGCCAAATCATCTCAGCCTTTGGGAGGTTTGTGTAGGCTGACAGCCCATGTGCACAGTCAGAAGTGGATGGTGCAGAGCTTTGCTGAAGTAGAGTTGGTAAATCATCAAGATTGGAGAGGTTAAAAAGAATTACAGAGCTCATATTTATGCACAGTTTTTTAAGTTAAAGCCTAAATTGTTAAGGAATGAATTGTTAAAGTAGCTGGGTATACTATATATTAGGTGTTTGTTAACATGTAATAGTGCAATCTCTGAACTTGAATCATCTATCTAGAAAGCTGCTTGCACACAATTAGTTAGTACCTTTCCTAACAGTCTTAGCAGGGGAAAAAGAAAAACCAACAACATGTGGCTTTACCACATCACCACAAATACAGTTAAGAATGATGTCTGTGTATGCTTTATTTATGTATGTGTGCATTATTGATGGACTGTGCAGAGCTTCTCAACTCCAAGTTCTTGTCCTAAAACTGATGTGGTTGTTCTGAACTGAAAATTGCTGCTGTTGTGTGGATTGTTTCTGATGCTGTTAAGCGAAGCACCCTTAAAGATGTGTGTTGGCTAGGTAGAAATTGACAGAATGCTTTTACTGTCATTTGAGTTACATGGGATAAAACTCCCCTAGTCTTTGAGTGAACACTTTGATTTCAAAGTTAAGGCCTGTTAATGCTTAGAGATTGTAAAGTGGAACATTCCTTGTTCTAGTTCTGTGGATAAATTGAGAACTGGTGGTTGGAACCCAGTGTGTGACCATGAAGGCAGATAAGATTATGTTCTTGATATTTTATTTGGAGTTCCTGATTGCTACTAAGTTGACTTTTTTATTTTCTTCCTTTTTTTAGGCTGGAGCTCTTGATTTGTTGAAGGAGCTTAAGAATATTCCCATGACCCTTGAGTTACTACAGGTATGATTGTCTTATTGTTGTTGTGTTGCGAATGTTAACTCCCTAATGAAGAAGGTGGAGCCAGCAGATTTGAATGAAGGTTACACTATTTAAATAGATTCCGAAGTCCAAAGTCCTTGGAAGCATCAGTTTTGTTACATGGTAATCTAGTCTCACTTCACCTGATTTAGTACTTAAGTATTTTCTTCCAGTAGCAAACTCCTAAAGCTTATCTTTCTGATTAAATTGAGAGTTGTGAATTTTGTCATGGATGAGGGAGAAGAGCTGCATACAAATTTACCAGTCATAGAATCTTAAATTTTTACTCTAACACAAATGAGGTGTGTTTTCTTCCTCTTGAAGGAGAATGCATCTGGTTATATCTGATACCATCTTTTCTTATGTAGTTAGTTCTGGTTTTGCCTTGTAGGTGAGGAGAAACGTAGTTGATACCTCTTAGGCAAGTTGTATTTGACACACACTCCATGTCCCCCTCCTTCATTCTGAGTAATGTATTTCTTAAGGAAATTATACTCCTCTTTTACTCTCCTGGGCTGGAAGTGATGGAGGGATAAAATCTCTCCCAGTTGCATGGATACTTTCACTAACATTGCTTAGATCTACATCTTTAGCAATATTTCATATATTATTTGTAAATTCTTTCAAAAAATAAACTTGGTCAACTTTCCTTACGTGACAAGTTTCAGAGTTTGTCATGTAATTCATCAGTGATCAACTTTTGTTCCAAACTAGCCAGCTATTCCCTATCTGTGAAAATTTTAAAATTTCACTTAAATCTGAGTTTGCTTAAATCCTGATTTGCTGTAGTAGCCACTTAAATTGGAGGAGACTGAAAAATATCTTTTATCTATGGGGCAATTAATGGTCACAGATAAAGAATTAGTTACAAAGTTGAAATTTTAAAGGTGTCAGGAGTGATAACATTTTTGATTCATGCATCCTATATACTTGCAGAATGTACTTAGTTTTTATGAAGTTATTACTAATGCTATTTCTGACAGAAAAGAGAATTTTTAAGGTGTCACTTTTGTGCATGAATGCTGGTACAACTCTGATGCTTTGTCCCCTGTGTTCAACCTTCTTCCTTAAAAAGAAAACTCAAAACCCCCCAGAAAAAGTACTCCACACAAAATAAGAACAAAACCCAGAAAACCCCACTGGTTAACCTGATTTTTTGGAGTTGCTTTGTGCAGGTCTTAATGCAAATTATATTTTGCATTAAGTATAATAACATTATTTTGCCTTTGGAGTTAAAAATCTCTCTGCAAGGGCTCTGGAATTTCAAGTATTTTGGGATACTCTTGCATAGTGCATTGTTTGTACCTTAGTTAGGAAGCTTTTCATAAATATCCATTGCTGTATTCAAAACAGTTCCACTACATAAAATTGCATTTAGCAACATATTTGGACTTAAATTTACTTTTTTCTTTGAGAGTTTGATAATATATAAAGTCTGACATAAACTTTCTTTGTTGTCCTCCCAAATTTGCTTAAGCAATGGTGGAATCAAATGGAGCAAGAGCTGAAATGCGAAGAAATTGTACTCATTGCTCTGGTGGTGGATCATTGGCGTGCCAGTGTCAGGAAGGGTGATAATCCTGAGATAGTGGAGGCACTATCTTCCTCTGTGCAGATCAAGACTTCTGACAAATGTGTTTGAATTGATGAAATGAAGAACAAAAGTGAAAAGCATATTTCCTTACCCATTTTTGAGAAGCTATGAAAGCTTGCTACATTGAGAAAAGCTCTGGTGTCTTTTGTCTTTCTTGCCACATTTATTTTCGCAGAAAGCTGAAGTGGTTACAGGCAGTAATACCACTGTGTTACATCTGATGAGCTTTATGTAAGCAAGCTGATCCTTTCTCAACTAGGCAGGGAGCCAGTAGGCTTCCTGACACAATTTATCCGGTGGTCTGACTTGCAAATCTGTTTAGCAGCTTCAGAGCATTAAAGGCATCGTGTCCCTGGTGCTAACTGTGGTTAGTGCACAGCTAAACAATGAGTGACACAGTCGGGCTGTATTTTCACAAACAGGTTTTACAGGAAATGACACACACACGTGCAGAACTAGGCTGTGATGTACAGCCCTTGTTAATGGCTTCAGGGCAGTTCACTGGCAAGACCTAGAAACCCAGGGATGGTTATTCTTCAGTGGTTGGTTTGGCTCTGCTTTGCTCCGAGTGCTCACCAATTCTCTGTCCTCATACAGTTTAAAGTTGGAAGCAGGTCTGCTTGCTTCGGTGGTTGCTCTCCCTCCCCAGCTGTGTTCCTTACATTTTTGCATTTGTTCTGGTTTAGAGAACACCTGCTGCCACCGTGTGCTCTGCTTTGTGTTCAGTCATAGGTTACTTGTGCTCACTACTGCTCACACCACACCTACTGAGCACTGCTGGCCAAAGCTTCAGTGCTTCAGGGTGAAAACAGCTGTCTTATGCTGTCTTTGACTGTCTTTACTCTGAAAGTGCTCTAGAATTTAAAGTGGGAAAGAATGAAAGTACGGGAGTTTTTCATTTAACAATGGCAATCACAAGAACAGCTCTACAGAGAGGACGACTAAGGAAATTTAAAATACTGTCAGCTGGTTTGTCACTAAAACATAGTAATGAGAATATAAACTCATCTTCTGTGACTATCTGTGCCAGTTAGAAGGCAGATAAATTAGTAGAATCATTACTCCCTCTCTTCAGGTAGACCTGATCCAGTGCTCTGTAAAAGCAAGCAAATGAGTTTTTTAATGTACTGCTTTAAGAAAGCTGGCAGTTCAGAAAGTTCCCATAAACTGTCCCTCTTGTGTGATCAGAAGAAGAAATTTTTCTGGTTAGTTTTGAGTTTTACTTAAGTTTTTGGATTTTACTTAGCTAAGTAAGTCTGTAAGTTTGTGTGATTTCCCTTCGCTGATGAGTGTAGGCTGTCATTGTGCCCAGCTATTAATGGAGGGTTGGGTTTTTTGGTAGATACATTTTTCTCATCCAGATGTGGTATTTTATGGATTTTCAAGGACATCTTATTTTTTTACTGTCTGAACATATTGATGAGATTTAAGTGTTCAAAATATCAAGAGAAATGGCCAATACCATTAATGTGGGTGAGCAGAGTCCATCTTGGAACATTTTAGTTACAGGTGAGTAACCATCTGTTTTCTTTAATTCAAAATGCATGTTTAGAGCTGATGCTCAGGCCTGAGGTTATTTAATATGTTTCCTTGGCTGAAATAGCTATGGATTATTTCAGTATGTTTCCAGTCATTTAGCACATTCATGGTGCCTCAGAAGGTGTTGTTTGGGTGGTAAGAAGTAATTTACAGGAACAAATCATTTCCATTTTTAGCGAGCCACAAAGATTTAAATTTTCCTTTTAAGAAGAAGGAAGTTTATGATGATCTATTGCAAAAGTAAGTAGAGTAATTTATATTTAGTGAGTTCTGTAAATGGTAATGCAACAAAACGGAGCATCTTGATAGCAAATAAAAAAATTTAGTCATCAGTCAGAATACAAAAAGATAACATTATTTATATTGTTAAATGCTTTTCTCCTCTTGTGAAGCTAAAAGGGTGGAAATTTTCTCCTTGTTTACATGTACACATTAGCCATAAATCTTCTAAAATGTTACTGTTGAACTACATTTATGTCGTCATCATCTGAGTCTTGAAAGGCGTGAATTGTAACTTACTCTCATATTCACTCTGTAGGTGGCAGTAGTGGCAAAGGCTTGAAGCTTGTCACCGTCTTGGCCTTTTCAGAAAGACAGGATAGCTCATTCTTTAAAATCTTAAACACAGAGAGTACTGCTTCTGTCTAAAGTCAGAACCCTCTGTGCTAATGATTCTAAAGAATCTCAGTATCACCAAAATTTTTAGGTACCTAAAACATGCTTGCCCCCAGCTGGGTATTACATCTTTTTCCACAGCCACTAAATGGGAATTCTGAGAGTATGATGTCAATGAAGAAGTCAGCAAGCTTCTTATAGTGCTGAAATATAAATACAATCCTTAACCCTTGTGTCCACCATCACTGCCCACCCCTCCCCAAATTTTTGTGGTGAAGACAGTTGGTAATACTGTTGTGTTTCTTTTTAAAATGTCCATGTTGTTAAAATATTTTTTCTAAAGGCTTGCAGTATTTTGTCCTGAGAATCACAAGAAAAAAGGAAACAAACCCACCACAAAAGAAAAAAGATACTGTAAAAACTCATGTCAAAGTACAAATGTATGTATGTTTATTTGTTAAATTGTCTTCATGTCACTTGTGATAATGTATATTTCTGTTCCTTTTGCAGTCTACCAGAATTGGAATGTCAGTGAATGCAATACGCAAGCAAAGCACAGATGAAGAGGTTACATCTTTAGCAAAATCTCTTATCAAGTCTTGGAAGAAGCTGTTAGGTATGGCAACAGAAGCATCCCTGCTCTTGCATATTCTAACTCTGTGTAGCCTTGGTGCTCATCATTGGCACTGCCTTGTTTTAGGCATATTTGTGCTTTTGTGTGAATGTTGAAACTTCCTGTGCTGGTGTAATTGGTTTTTTACTCTTTGACTGTGGCCAGGCCATTACTGTGAGCGTGTGTGCAGAGAAACAAAGTATTTTATTGGGGCTGACAGGCAGCAGGAAATCAGCTTCTCTGATGTGATTCATTTCTGAAGTCTCATTGCCTGCAGTTGAGCTGGAGTGACTGTACTGCAGCACTAAGCACTAACCAACTTCTTGACTATTTTCTTCGTCAAATATAAGAAGTACTCTGAAGAACTAGTGCAGAATCTCATGCGAGAGTGTGGAGGCTTTGATGTTTGGGTATGAAGAGAAAAAAACATTAAAAATGTTAAAATCTTAGAACTTACAGGTAGTGAGAAACAGAGCTGCACTTTCTAAAACTAAAACCTTCATAATTTTAAACAGCTTACTAATTACAATTTAATACTTTGTTTGATTTCCCTTAAAGCAATTAATAAGCTTAAAACCTTTCTGTTAGGGTTTTATTCAAGGGTATTTGGTAGTACTTAGTATATCTGAAACCACTTAAATCTCGGAATATGCCCAGATATTTTTGTTCATACACTGTGGTGCACTCTGTTTTGTTTCTTTGTATGTAAGCTTAGGTAAATTAATATGTTTGAAGCTTAAAATTTTAGAATAGAAAACAGTTTACATAATGATTTAAATACTTACCATTCTGTCTGGAAAAATATGCCAAATACCACGAGAGTGTAAGTCCCCTACCATTTGAACTCAGCCTCATTTTTATCAATTGTGAAGTGTTTTATCAGATACTTTATTACTATATAGAAAATTGTAAATGATATAGAAAAACAATTTTTCAGAACCTTAAACTTTGATATTCTAGTAAGAAACAACAACCTCTACACCAAACTTGTTTAAGCTACCTTAAAGACTTTTAACCTACCTACTAATAATGTTATTTTTAGTAGTCAAAATTAGATAATACTAGACATGCTTATAAAAAATGCCTTTAAATTCATAATGACCTTAATAATAAAAGTAAATGCATATACAGGATCTTAGTGTAGGATCTGATCAGAGTTAACTGGTAAATAGTGAAAGTAATGTATTTTTTATTTTTAAACTTAAATGTGGAAGTCCAATTTTATTAAATCAGTGTATAAAAGTAGTAAGGTATATAGATGGAGAAATTGACTTGCATATTAGCATCAGTTACTCTAAAGACTTCTAAAAGTAGCTGCTGGATTGAGTGAGTTAGCACTCAAGTCATTATAAGTTATTAGTCTAAATTTTCAAAACAAAACTCTATCAATATTTGGTGAGAGTTAATTTTTTTTCTTGGAAGATCAAATTTTTAATACTGCCACTTAGCTTAGACAGCATAGTAGAGGAGATACTCTCTTTTCTAACAGAATTCTCACCGGGAGTGTCCTCAGATGCTGCTCTCCTTGGATAGTGGGAGATCTGCCTGATTATTGCTGTCCTTTGACTAAAGGACTTGCCATTTTTTTGTCGAGACACTACACTAAAAATAATTGTCTCATTTTTTTAAACACTTGAATTCCTTAAGTCAGTCAAAATTGTCTAAATACATTGCTATTTAAAGTTTTTTGGTGTTTAAGTGTTCAGACATTGTGAAACATGGGGAGTGTCACTCCTGCCTGGAGGGTTTCCATGCTGTAGTAGTCAGGGTAAGAATGTGGTGCCTAAAGGTCACAGCAGGTCACTCTGGGTGTCACCTGCTGTGCAAAGGAGTGCTCCTGACTTCCCTTCTGCACGGGCGCCTCTTTGCTCCCTCCTGTGTTACAGCTAGTGCTGGAGTGGCTATCCAGAAGACCAGAGCTGGGAACTGACCAGTTGGATACTAATTGTTTTGTTCATTTCTTCTGGCTTAAATTTCAACTATCACTTTTTGATCCAGCCTGTTTGCAGTTGCTGTTTCCTGCACAGGGATTGTAGCAGTAACAAACAGCTGGGGCAAGGTGGACCTTCCCCTTTTGTAGCTTGCTAGATTCAGATTGTTTTAACACAGTTGGGAGACTCTAACGAAGGCATTTTGCATGAGGTGAAGTCAAACATGTGAGGAGCTGCAATGCAAATAAGAAATATTTGGCATTTATCAGAACTGAATACTTCTTGAGGCAGTGACTATGTGACCTTTGTTCATGTGCTAATTTTTGTTACAGAACAGATATTACTGTGTGTACATTATTGTGCCAGCTCTGGTGTAATTGTGGTAATGCACTTAAAGCATAAAATCTAATGAATCCTGAAAATACAGCACTGCTTACATTGCAAACTTCGGTAGTTAAATTTTCCTTAGTTGTAATGTACATCTTATAATAAAGCATAGTAAGGCAGATGTTTTGCCTCTTCTATCACTGCTCAGTAACTCATTAGAACATAAAGTTTCGTAACTGTGAAAGATAGGGTATAAATATGGGTGGGAATCTTACAAAGTACTCTTATTCTGTTTTATCATTAGTTTTGGCTTTCTTGGAAGAATGCGAAATACCGTATGTTGAGCTGCTTGAGAAATCAGTTTCGATTATGCTGTTTATAGTGCATGTAAAATGGTATGGAGCAAAGATGGCAGCAGAAGCGGACAGCTGTTAATCGTACCAAGCATTGTACTCAGAGCTCTGAAGTCTTTGTGAGTTATTTTTATAAATGACATTTTGAATTTAGGCAAGAATTGTTCACTGTTCAGGCTGCATGTAATGTTTCAGTTCAATGCTATCAGAATTTAGTTTTTAGGAATGCATAGGAAACATGAGAATAAATCAAAGTGAGTTGTGAATCACCAGATCTTTGTGGCTTGACTTGAGCCTTCCCAGGTTATCAAACGTTTTTTGGAGGGGTCAGAACCTGTGCAGCAGAGGGCTTGTGACCATCTGAAGTGACTCACTGGGTGAGCCACAGTGCCAGGTCCCTTTCAGATACTTTCTGAAAGTTAAACTGCACAGCAGAGATGGTCATAATTTGCCTAAGGAGCTAAATTCAGCTCAGAATAAAATGCTGCTCAGTTATAACATGGGATTTACCAATAATGATTGCTTTGCCAAGTTGCTGAATATACAGAGTATGCTGTGCAGGTAATGAATCTATGCACACTCATTTAGATTGTCAGGAGTGTTTCCTATATTAGAAAAGCAAGAAATATTCCTTAAGGAATATAACACTCATAGTAAATAATTACTTGCTGAACTGAAGAGTATACAGTGAAAAAGAATGTCCAGACCTGTAGGTAAACTTTCCTCCAATAACTTTATATACTGAACTGAAAATGCAGAAGCATGGCACAATATTCTTAATATTAAGTGATCATCTGTTGCCAGTGTTGAAAACTAAAAGTGAGGCCACAAACACTTTGAAATGCCTATTTCAAAGAAGGGCATGCCTGAGTAATTTTATTTTAAGAGTGTTTAAGTGTTAATAACACCAATCAGGCATCACAGAAGTATTTTACGAAGATTACTTTGTTTACAAAATCCTTTGTTATTTCAAACCTGGATATGATTCTCCTGGAGCCACCAGGTGCAGTCTAGGGCTATCTTACAGGTATGTTAATGCTGTCGTAAGTGAAGTTGTTCAAGGACATCTCAAAGCCTACTGGCTTTGTTAAAAAAAAAAAAAAAAAGTTCCTGGCAAAGCAAGTTCTTAAATTAGAGTCTAATAGCATTTACAAATATTATTTACTTTTGATAAGAAGAGTACATGTCTTTTTAAGACATCAAGCAGAATCAAGTGCAAAAACAATTTCAATAGTCTCATTTTCGTATCAAGTATGAGCTGTATAAATCACCTCTTCTGAAGTGTATATTTGGAACTGTTCATGTACTAATCAGTGGAGAGATAACAACACACAATGCATTATACTATATAAGAGAAAAACACATATAGTTAATAAGTCCATGTGTCATGGTCTTTTGACACTGATGATAAAATAATCTTTAGCAAGCAGTTCATAATTTTGTTGTTTATTTATGGACTTTTAGATATTCCTCCTTTCAGAGCTACTACTGAAAAGAAACTTCTACTGCTCTTGCCTTCATGCCATACTACATCTTGTAGAGGAATTGCTGGCAAGTGTAGGTGCTTGTGCATCTCAAGATTATTTGGTCAGAGTCTGGAAAATGGAGCCTAAATAATTATTGCATATGAAGATCATTGTTGAATTAATAATTATGTAATTTAATGCCTGTTCTCTTATCTCTTTCATTTAACTTATTTAAACTGAATCACCACTCAGAAACAACTTCTGGTGGTGATTCCTTAGTAGGCAACACAGGATATCCTGCTAAATTAAATTTTCATGTGCTTCCAGATAATAACTAGCCACCTTTCATTAATCTTTCTGGAAAAAAAAATTACTTTAATATTTTTCTTAATTTGATGTTAGATTTATAAATGAATAACATTTCATCTTTATATTTTCTGGTTTTTTCTTGTTACTAGCAAACGTCTAGTGTTGGCTTGTAACATGGAAAAATCTAGGAGAAAGCTATTTAATGGCTTCTAACATTCAGATTAATTATGTTATCTGGCTGTATCTTATTGCATTAAATTTTTTGGTTTGATAACACATACCACTGTTATGTCTTGTTTGACCCTGGAGAGATTTTTCACTGGAGACACTTGAAGTATCTTTCAAATTAATTGCAAGTCCCAGGTAGAAACTGCAGTGCCATTGTTAAACTTTGAATGTCTTATTCCAATGACTAATAGTCTATTCTTGTTACTACCATGTTCTTTGTATTTTAAAGAAGTGTTAATATAAATCAACTTCTCTTATGAAACATCAAAGCTTTGAGATTTTTTTTTATGGCTGCCTGAAGATGCAGTAGCTAAAACTGCGAAGTTACAGTTTTCAGTCCTAAAATTGGTGACAGTTTCCATTTGTTTCTGAAGAAAAATTTGGTAAGTTTGAGTAGCTGTATGGAGTTGCAAAAAGGAACTGCACAAGTTGTAGTTTGTAGTATATAAATATTTATAATGTTCTGTAGACTTCCTGAGGTGAATCACATTGGAATTTTTAAAGACATTTCACAGAAGGGCCATTTTTTTCCACCTTACTTTGTTAGAATTTCTGTGGTTGTTCATAGCTCCCATTAGATGTCATTCTTCCTCTGTATTAGAGTCTGGTCATTGAATGTAAAATAAGCTAATTAGTAGGGACTTTTAATTTGTCAAGGATAATTTTTCTATCCCCAGAGGATAGATGAAATGCTGCCTAGCAGGCTGTTAATTACACTCTGTTCTTTTGTCAATACAGTATTTCAGTAAAATAAGATATCCTTATTACTGTGTGAGTTTAAAGATGGAAAGCATCTCTTCTAGTGCTTTCCAATTTATGAGCCATAAAGTGACTTAAACACTTAGGGTAATATTAACTTTATTTTCAGCTTTCTGAAACTAGATTAAGCAAAAACTCTTAAGTAATTAAAGAAGCCGTAGTTTTGAAGACATACTTGCTAAAGATGTCCAGTCTCAGCTGCTCAAGTCTGACCTTGGTTTGAGAGACATCCTTGCACAGACTGGTCTGCAGCTGTAGGAGGAGCTGTGCTTTTATCTGTGTGCCTTGTGTATACCCTGCCCTCCAGAAGGGAAAGAAGCCATTGGGGTGTTGGCAGGTGGTGGCAAGTGCCTGCCCGTGGTGAAATGGTGCTGGGCTGAATGGAAGTGTTTGATAAAAGAGATCTGGGTGCCAGCTATACCAGTGTGGTGTCTGTGCATAGTAAGCACGAGATACACAAGTTGGACCTAAATTTGACAACTTGTGTGCCAGAAAAAAAAAAAGTGTAGGTAAATGTAGCACAGCTCCTGCTTTACAGGACTTGAGCTGTACCCCAAGCCTTGTCTTAAAGCCTCTGACAAAAATGAGCATGTACTTAAAACATTATGAAGTTAAATAAGATTGTATGCATATTTGGAACATCTTTAAAGATTATATCATGTAATCAGTTGTTGCCATAGAGAGAGTGAGTATGTGTGTTAAAAATGGGAGTTGTTTTCTTTCTCTTAGTGCACTTCAGTTGTCATAGCAGAGAACTCATGTGATTCATTCAGTTTATAGTCTTCTTTGCTTTCTTAGTGAAATTATTTTTATAAACAAGTTGTTAAATTGGTCTCTTTATTAGGAATTTTTTAAAATAACATCTTCAGCTTATTAAAGAAAATCAGCCTGAGTGCATCATCTGTGTTTAATTATCTTTTTTTTCCTAAATGAAATCTACCAAGGATTAAATACAACATTGCAAACAATGGGTGATCTCTTGAAGGCTGGAGAAATGCTCTGAAGAAGTATCTTCTTGTGCTTTTCTGGTTCCTGTACTATTTTGTGTGCATCTCTTTATAGGTGCAGCTGGAGACAGGATAGTAGATTGGTGCCTGGTCTGATCCGGTGCTGCTCTCTCTGCTCTCCTTTTATTTTTTAACAAAGTGGTATTTGGATAAATTCCTTAACTCACAGGTTAAGGAAAGGATCAAAATCATGTTCAGTTTATTGTTCCTATAAAAATAAAGCCAGCACAGTTATTTTCTGCTCTATAAAAATCAAATTGAAAAGCTCGATGTTTGAAGAGACCCAAATTTGTGTTGCGTGCAACCAAGTTCCTCTGAGAAGCACAGGGATGGGATTTCTCTGGAAATGAGGATACTTTTAGATGCTTAAACAAGGATTTACATGCTTAATTCAGGACATCTTTCTTGGCAAGACTGAGCCTTAACAGATTTCCCTCCTTTTCTTGTCCTGTTTTTAATGAATTTAAAGTTTCTAATATATGCTTATTACAGTAATACAGTCTACGAATTTAGAAGTGTAATAGCATCTTTATAAGGGCTTGGAAAGAAGAATTCACGAAATCTGTCAATCAGTGATGCCAATCTCACTAGGCTTTCTCTGTAGGCAGTAGAGAGCCATCCTTTCTAGAGAACAAATCAAAGCAGGCACTCAATTTAGCGACTCTGAAATCCTCTTTACAATGGAAGGGTGTATACATTTTTGCTGTGCTAGAGTTAAATGTTGTGATTATTCTTTTCTGTAAAGATTTTTTGTCTTTATTCTTTATAAAAGCATAGTGAAACATAACCTGTATGGGAATGGCTGATTCAAATATGTTTAAATACTGAGGCAAGTAATTTAAGAGCTATTGCGGAAAATATTGTGTGTCTGGAAATCTCCTTCGAAAATATGAAAATGAGTTTCTATTTTGCCAACTATGGTGTCTTCCACACCATAATTAAAAAGAATGACATGTATGTAGTAGGAACTTAAGTATATAAAGCATGGAAGACAAATTCCAGAGACTTAATGCAATACCTGGGAAGTTACTGTCTACCTAATGCAGGAGTGTTGGAAAAAAATAAAGCATAAAAGTCTATGTTTCCGTCATGTCTTCACTGCCAGTTTAAGCAGATGCTGGACTTGACTTGAAGGATCTGAAGTGTTGTCATGTTTTCCATTTCCTGCATTGGGAGGGTGTTGGGAAGTGGAAGGCTGTACTGCAAGAGAAGGTCAAAGCAGAGAGTGGGAGCTGATAGCATTTCTAACTGATTCAGAAGAAATAATGATATTTTACCACTGCTTTAAATCAGTTACTATTTTTGGATAGAAGAGAGTTTCTCATGTTTTGTATTTCCAGATGGACCTTCAACTGATAAAGATTCTGAAGAAAAGAAAAAGGAGCCTGCATCTTCCTCACAAAACAGCCCTGATGCCAGAGAAGAAAGGTGCTTAATTCTTAATGGCTGTGCAAATAGTCTCACTCACTCAGTATAAATTAATGTTAAACTATTTGGTCTGAATTGGTAATATTAGAGACAGCTGCTGTGTTCTTTTCTGAAAGACAGAGTTGTACAAGAAACAATGTGTTGTTAGGGAAGTAAACTGTGCTACTGTTGACATGATTGAAAAAAACATACCTAGGTCAAGATATGGCCAGACAAGTTTTGTTTATTCCATCTGTTGGGTCTGTCAAATACTCTGTCCTCTCTCGGTACTAGCACTGAACTTTGAGAACTGTCAAACAGCTCTCAGTCTGTGCTCTGTGGTAATTGCATATGGTCCTTTTCTGTGTTAGCTTTCATGTTTAATAAACATTCTGTGCTTTTTTTGGTAAACACAGAGTATGTTACCAGAAAAAGAAGCCTGCATTAATGTCACTGCAGGAGCTAAAGAACATTTACAAAAGAGTATTTGCAAGCCCGTTTCTTCTATAGGTTTCTGAGTTTAGTGATCTCTTTTCAGCAGCCATTTTAAAATTGAAGTTTAACCTCCAACTGTATGTCCAGATAGAAGCTGAAAACTTGGTTTACAGTTTGCAAAACTACATAAATTGTGGGGGCTTTTTTGTGACCATGGCACCCCTTCAGTACAGTAAGCAGATTGAATGCAAGGCATTCGCTGCAGAGTGAATGTTGGTGTGATGTATCGTCACCGTTTCTTAAAGTAAAGGTCTGTGGGAGGAAAAAGATTTCACATTAATGTAAAGAACTGAGAATTAAAGCTTATGTGCCACATAAAGGAATGAAATACCTGCTGTGTCTCTATTGTGTGGAATACCCTAGTGAATAGTCTAAAGACACTTTAAAAATTGTACTGACTCTAGAGCTATAAATAACTTTTAAAAGGTGGCCTGTTCTTATTTTGGAATACCATCAAATGTAGCAAAAGACCCGTATTTTGCCCAGAAACAAAGTTATTTGAAGGGGGAAAAACATTAATACTGGTTTTAATTTTGCCTTTTTTTTAGCAGTTCAAGTAGCAATTCCAGCAGCAGGAAGGAGGAGGGTAGTGCTCCCTCAAATTCTTTCATCCCTTCTTTTCCCCGGGCTCCAAGCACTTCAGACTCTGTACGAGTGAAATGTAGAGAAATGCTCTCTGCAGCTCTCAGAACAGGAGGTGAGCTTTGCAGACTATATTTTCAAGTTTAACTATTTCCTTCTTCTCTATTTCTGTCTTTCCCACTCTTCTCCTACCCTGTAGGGTAGAATAAACCCTGTTTGCATCCATTTGTGTATGTAGACCCATAAACCAGTTCACCCAAGGTGCAAGTTATGAGTAACCTTGATGGCATGGGAATGTTTCAAAATGCATTTTTGTTGCTGCTAATTCAGGACATTTTGTGGCTCAGTTCATCTGATACCTTGCCAACAGGGGATCTTCTTTTCAGGAATGTTATTGCCTCCTTAATGCTTAATTTAAACCTTTTTGTAGAGGCTTCTATTCTTTTTTTCTGTCTCAGTCTTTCTGACTGAGAGGATGTGACTATATGCAAGACTGACTTTCTTACACCAGAGGTCCTGGGAGCCTTCAGATTTTAGTTTCTGAAGGCTGCCTTTCTATTTTGATTTATTCTGGACATTTCATTAAGATAACCTGCAATAACAGAGTCTTGCATTGCTCTTAACCTCATGCCTGTTGGGTATCTGTAAATTCCTTGACTGTTCTGGGATATTTCTTTTTATCTCTCGTATACACTTGAGTGTCTTTAAACTGACAAATTGAATTATTTGCTAGATAAGGAGCAAACTGAAAGCTGGACTTTTCAGAATTACTTGATTTTTTTCTGGTCTATCCTTTGTCAAAATTATGACCCAGTTTCTCTTTCTCTGTCCTTAGCTTAGTGTAACTTGGCCCAGTGTAAGTAGACTTCCGAATCATCTGTGTTTACTCTCTTCACTCTTTTATTCTTTCTTTTGATTCATATAAATTCAGGTATAGACAATAAGTAATATTGACTTGAGACATGAATTAGTGGTCATCTGGGTATATAGTTCATAGGCTTTTTTTGGGACCAGACAGTCACATACAGCATCTTAGTATTCATAATTCTACGTAGTCTTCATTTTAAATAGTTTTCCAAAAACTTTTATCGCTATGTTGCTTTCTGCACCACATGTAAACTGATGATCCATGAGTTTAAAAATTAAGGTTATTTTATTGTTTTATGACCTTTGATATGAGATCAAAGGAAAAATTGTGTTTGGGTTACTCACTGAAATATACCCATGATGAAATGAGGAGGCAAACATTATATGCAATTTGTGTTTAAGCTGTCTTGGAAAGGTAGATGTCTTTGTGGGAAAGCATTTTGGTCAGAAACAGTAAACAGTTATCTTGAGACATTTTAGTTCAAGTGTTTTAGTGCCTTCAATACTTCTGTGATGTATTTCTTCTAATTTGTGTATTTTATACACATCTCTGATTCTCATTTTAAAAAATCTAATAAGATTGCTTGTTATTTAATTACCATGTTTCTAATGAAATCTTTCTCTTCCATGCATGCAAAACATTTATTTGCTTACTCTTGTATTGTATGGACTAAAACAATTGATTAAACACAATATAAAATGTTTTCCTTTTATAATAGTCTGTTCTATGCACAGGCTGTGGAGATGGGAGAGGTGCCAAGCCCATTGGAATATTTTAGATTTTTCCGTATAACAATGTTTTTCATTCCTAATTGTGTTTGCAACTAGGTAGCAGAAGTTTTTTTGGTTTTTAAATGTTTTTGACTCTTTTAAACTTCTGTTCTGCTTCTTTTGCTTACTTGTGTTCTTCTAACTAATAAATTTTGAAAGGTTAAGTACACAGTAAATTAAAATTACATATACAACAAGAAGACTCACTGCTCAGTTTCAGTGTTCTGGAACTATAGGGATCTCAAGGCTATAGAGCACAGAGTGTCAGGTTGCTAATATTTTATCATTTGTTTTCCTTAGATGATTACATTGCTATTGGTGCTGATGAAGAAGAGCTGGGTTCTCAGATTGAAGAAGATATCCTTTGTTGTATGTCTGTGTGCTCTAGAGCAGGAGTATTTTTGGAAAACACAGTAATTTTCAAATTAATTAACTTGATCTATATATGATCTATATGAGTGTTTTTATATTTAATGTAAAACAAAAATGGCAACTGTGTTCAACACATCAGTACATAAATTTAGTGTTTAAAAAACCAGCCCAACCTAAATGATTTGCCTTAAAGTATGTAGGAATGCATGTAGGTGAGTGTGTGGGGGTTCTTTTCAGCTCAATATGTTTTCCTTGTAGCAGCAATATTATATCTTACTGAAGCATTCTTACATAAAATGCTGGGCTCTTCTATGCTATTTTAAAATCTTTTCTTGTTAACAGTCTTAATCATTTTCTAGTGTCTTTATTTAATTTTCTACAAGTTTATTTCTAAATGAATTCACAGTTCTCAAAAGTGTGGTTCTGGTACCAGTGTTTGAATCATTCCAGAACAGAGGTCTGTGCTTCTTTTTTTAACAAAAAAAAATTTGTGTGAGTGAGTTGTCATTGTTTGAATATTTCATTCAGAAATTAATTAATTCTCAGGATGAGATCAAGAAACTGGACATAAAGTTATGGGTGACTTTTCACAATTACAGTTGAGGTCCTACTACCCCAAAAATTCATATTTCCCTGACCCTGTGCTAAACTATGATTAGACTTCAGAAGGTTGTGAATTCTGCTGTGTTGAACAGGAAGGTAGCTGTTGGTTGGGATGGGGGGAGGACTTGATGGACAGTGGAGAAGTACATTGGTTTAGAACTTGCCCCCCAGAATAAATCCTTTTTAACACTTTGTTTTACTTGTTAATGTTTTACTCTCTTTTACTTATCCATGTTTTGTTCCTTAAATCCAAAGTACCTATTTTTCAAGAATTAAAAAACACTGATATGAAATACAAAAACAGGGTACGAAGTAGGATAGCGAATCTCAAGGATGCAAAGAACCCTAACCTAAGGAAAAATGTATTATGTGGAAACATTCCTCCTGACAAGTTTGCCAAAATGACAGCAGAGGTAAGTAAAGCACAGGTCTTGAACTATTTCCCTCTTGGACTTAAATCCTGGCCTGCCATAAATGTAATCTATGTAAGCTGCCCATACTTCTGAAAGACTGTGACTTTTTTGTGGCTTGCAGAATCCGAATTACAGGGCTGTATTGGGGTAGAGGGCCTGAAAATGTCTTTACAAGTCAAAATAGATCTAGAAATTCAAATGAAAAATTAGATTTCGTGGTAGAGAAAAATGAAAGTGCCTCTTATTAACATCTTGTTTCAGTTCTGTAGCTCTGCTTCTGTGTGTTAGATTCTGTCCTCTCAAATGAAATATAAAGGAGTGTCTTGGAGAGTGAGGGAAATTAATTATGGTCAACTAATGAAAATCATAACTAACTTTATTCCAAAAGAAAATTGTGGTGGGTTTTTTTTGGTGGTTGTTTTTTTTTTACTGTGGCTTTACATAAAAGTTAGGGTAAACAGGGGCTGGTGAAAGAATGTGTAAAAAAAGCAAATTGTACCTTCAGTATGTATTTTGATTTTCTTTGTTCTGCATGTTTATGTAAATATGCACAAATGTATATTTTGTCCTGTTCAGTGCGCACTCTTTGTTTGATTAATGTTTTGGATTGAAACGTCAAATGGCTAAAATCCCCTTATTATTAAGATTACCTTTGAAGTGAAAGAGCACTGATACAAGATTTTCATTCCACTTCTACCTGGGGTGGTGAATAAAACTGTATTGAAGAAAAATGTAACAAATTGATTTTGCTGTGCACACTTGATTACAAGACCTTGTGGAGATCTTGTGCACTAAAACTATTTTAAAGAAAAAATAAAATGGATGATTCTGAACTCTTTGGTTAGTGTTTAGAAACGAAGTTAATATGATTTCTGGTGACATATGGTGAATTATCAGTACAAATGTGGAAGTCAAAAAAATGTAAATTTTTTCCTGTAATAAATGTTATGTAGGTCAATGAGATAATTATCCAAGGATTAACCTAAGGAGAGCATCTTTTTTTCCTCTTTGGAGGACTTTTAAGTCCTCTACCTTGCCTTGCTTACATTTCTGAACTTCAGAAGCGTATTTGCATAGAAATATTTCTAGATGTTTGATGTTGTACTTTTTTTTCCTATATGTGTTAAAAAAGAGAACATTTTTAATTTCTTGTAGCTTCTGTGCTGTGAAATAGCCCAGCTTAAGTCTTGTAAAATAAAAAATGTGTAGAATTACATTGCCCTTCAGCAGTATTGTTGTTCATGGATTCTAAATAAAAAATTGTATTGGCTCACACAGTGGTAACTTGTTTTAAAGCTAAAACTCTCCAGTAAACTCTGTCTGCTCTTTGTCCTTCATAGGAAATGGCAAGTGATGAGCTGAAAGAAATGCGCAAAAATCTGACCAAAGAAGCTATCAGAGAGCACCAGATGGCTAAAACAGGAGGTACTCAAACTGATCTGTTTACATGTGGCAAGTGCAAAAAGAAGAACTGTACATACACCCAGGTGCGTGATTATTCAGATTCTTTGTTTTCCTTTTTCAAATCTTAAGTCCTATATAAAATTGTCAGAGAAAAAAAATTTGGAATTGCAAAATGAAGTTCCAAGAAAATGCTGACAAATTTTAAAATGTGAAGATAGCTGGATCTACTTAGTTGTGCTTATGTAAAGCAAGTTTGTTGTGTTTATTTGCCAAAAATTTTATGTAGATCCAAGCTGAGTATCTGTATAGACCGAAACTTGAGTTTCTTTGCAATGCGAATTTTTGCTAATTCTTCTTAATACATCGTATTTGTAAGGGTTTTCTGTGGAGGAGAGGTTCTGTTTTTAATGTGTGTAAGCTTATTTTTACAGAGGGACTAAATAGCAGAAAATTATATGTACGTATACACACACGTGTATTTTTATATATATTTAATGTACCATTTGACTAACACTAGACCCTGATTTGCAGTCATTCCTACAACCACAGAAAGGTGCTTTAATTGGCTTAACTGTGTTTCAGGGAACATAATTTTCATCATAGGATCAGCTGCATTTATATTTTGTATTGTTCATCAGATGCTTGAAATAGCAAGTTGTTTTTCAGTCATGAGACTTTAAAGCTTTTGCATTGCTAAATTTATGTGAAGCTGTACTGGCCTTCGTACTTTTAGTGCAGAATCTTCTCCTAGAAGTACATGCACAGTTTCAGTGCAGAAATTGGTATTTTAGTGCTACTAAATCTCTAAAATCCAGGTTTATCGTGGCTTTATGGCAAGGCAAAAAGCCCAGTTTCAGTTGATACATAAAGTTAACTTGTGTTTTTATGAAAATTTGTTTCCTTAATGTTAAACTTTGATTTAAACAGTTACATTGAACACACACTAAGAAAAATTGAAGATACTAATTTTTCTTTTCCGCTCTGGCTCTTGCCTTTGCCAAAGGTTCAAACCCGCAGTGCTGATGAACCCATGACAACATTTGTTGTCTGTAATGAATGTGGAAACAGATGGAAGGTAAGACTGTTAGACTGCTCTGCATATTTGATAGCAGGCAGCCTGCCTCTGTGGTTAATTTGGGTTTACAGTAATGTGACAAATCACTTTCTATTGACTTTTAGATACTTCTTAACCCATTAATGATATTACATGTTGAGATTGCAAAATAGCTTTAAATTAGAAATGTATTGTAGACTGAAGGTGTGAGATCTCTCAAGAAGATTGGTGGCAAAGGGGGAGAGAAGTCAGGACTTAGTCCTTGTGACATTTAGTTACAATACTGCTTTGCCGTACAAAGTGGTGACAAGCTAGTCACTGTGTTTTCTCTTTCCTCACCCCAAGTTCTTCTAACTGGTTTTAATCTCTGCTTTGGTGAGTGTAACAGGCCTTTTTTAGACCTTTTGTTGTTATTGTTTTTCTGGTTTTTTTGCTATTCTGAAATGAAGAAGTAATAAAAAAGAGAGATGACTTATGCTATATTCCTGTGCCAGGATGAGTGTAGAGCAGTGATAACCTGATTAAATGTTTTTTTTTAAGTTTGGGAGACAAGAATTTATAAAGATTCTGAGAAACACTGGTAGTTCAGTAAAATGGAGAAACACTGAAACACGAAAGCTTGTAAAATTTGAAGGTGTGATCACATGCCGTAGGAAGCATGATAACCTCATTCTGTTATTTTCCTATGTTAAGAACGCTGCAGCTCTGCAGGGCCATGCCATGGTATACATTAAGACTTCCACATAAAAAATATTTCCTGTATCTTGGTTTACATAGCTTATTGCTGAATATTGTTCATATATGGGCTCTGAGATATCTAAATAATTTATAAAGCTTAGAAATCGTTTGATGGAATTGTTCGCAGTACCTGAAAAAGTATGTTTGTCCTTAAAACCTTTTGTAAAGTGACAGTTACAGAAGTGTCTGTATAGAGGTGCCTGAAGGGATGGTTAAAATATAAGCAAATGCTATAATTAGTAATTTCCATATCCTAAGTCTGGTGTTGTATTTCTGTTTCTTCTTGCAGAGATTTAGAACTAAGATGTATGAAGATCTCATAAAACATTCTTTTCTTTTGACAGTTCTGTTAGAAGAAGAAATTATCAAGATGTCTGGACCAGTATGAACGAGGATTTTGTAATTAGCTTTAAAAACTAGACTAAGCATCTAGCTTCCTGCAAATGAGAGGGTTTTTTGGTTTTTCTTTTCTTCTTATTTCAAAGCAGCATACATGCCTCAAGTTAGCCTTTGTTTTGACACAACCATCATTTCCTTAAATGCCTTCCTATAGCTGGTAGTCAGTAGGGCCAGGTTGCTCAATTGTATGGTGAATTTTAAAATATTTTTTCATTTTTATAAGTAAGTTGACATTAAACTTTTACCAGTTAAACATTTTGGTAATTGTCTTGTTTTTTTCTAACTATGTGAATAATGTACTGTATTTTTTGTGGTCTGAAATATACACGCTCGTCCTGTGTGTATTTTGCCTCTCCACATTTGCTCAGTTGTAAGAATGAAATTTGTTTCTCTCTGCTCTGTTCACTTTACTTTGCAAGCAGAAAAGGTATATGAGTTCCTCATAACATTAAACTCCGTTGTTAACTAAATCACAATTTAATTAACTCTCTAGTTTGTGTGCTCTTTCTGGACTAGGGCTAAATTTGCAATCATGGGGTTTGAATATTTATTAGTGGATATGGTGACCTCTTTTGCAATGGTTGGTTGAGCTTGTTTATGTAACCAGCTTTGATCAATGCAATATATTTTATTGCCCAAAGCATGTATTTTACCTTCAATCAGCAGGCATTATTTCTAAGAATGTCTTAAAATAGTGTTTAAATCTGATTTGAGTGTTCAGTCTTGCTTAATGTGCTTGACAACCAACTTGGGTTTAGAATTTGTAAATAAGCAAAGGCATTGTGTTGTAGGCTATCCTAATTACACCAGCTGACCAATTCATTACATTAAACTGGCTGGAGAGGTAATACTATACTCCCTTCATTTAAATGGCATTGATTTTGTTCATGAAATGATTTTTGAAATTGTAGGGTATCCAGTGTCCATCACAGACCTGCAAGTGGGAATAAATTATTAAAGTTATGATCTTTTCCGTATGAGAAATTATATAAATGCTGCTTTTTTAGAGTTTGCTTTTTAACAGTGCATGTTTAGAAATATTTGCAAATGTGTTTCCAAGGAAAAACATGTCAACATCTTTAGAAGAGATTAAATTCATTAAATCTAATTTTATGTTACTTAATTTGTTAGTTTGGGGCTGAGGAGGTCTATTTTGGCACTGTATAAATTATTCATGAGGAGATGGGAAGAGTGTGCACAGCTCCTGGAAAATAAATTCCTTGAATGTAAAGGAAAACCAAGTTTTTCTATGTTGAATGTTTTTTGTGTGATAGTGGCAACCGTAACAAGTGAGTTGGAAATAGTATGAGGACACTTGAACTTTGGGAGACAAGAACTGTTTGGTTAATACTTGATACAGCAAGCTTTTCCAGTCAGCTTATGCAAGGAAGTGTGGCTTTTCTGCTGAAGGGTAAAAATTATTAAAATAGAAGAAGTTGTTTACAGTCTATTTTTTTAGGCAGAAAATTGCTTAGCATCTAAAGTTTCTTGAATAGCTTTTTATATATAAACATTTTAACTCAACTTATGCTAATGCCTTTTAGCAAATATTTTTTTGTACTAGCAGTATGGGTTAATTTTTAGCCTGTGTCTAGGTAGTCATTGGCAGGATTGCTTCCTAAGAGTTACTAAAAGATTTTTTTTTTTCAAGTTGTTGAGGACAACAAACCAATTAAAGATGTTTACTATAAATCAGAGTGCTTTGTTTGGGGACCTTTGTGAAAGAACAAGTCCAAAAAATTGTGTTAAAAATGACAGCAAATTGGATGCCAAGTAGACCTAAATTTCCACAGCTGTTTCTAGCATACATATACAGGGCAGGCAGTGGCTGGTTTGCATAACCTTCCTCACACTGTGTCCTTTGACCTTTGTGTCTGATTGTGACACTTAGAAGAAATATCTTTTGATAAAATGTAGTAATTGTTTTTCTGTAGTTACCAGATCATATCTGGACTATATTAAAAGAACCAGAACTGTGGTAGCACTTTCTGTGATGCAGGTATATCCAAGCTGAAATAAAGGAGTTGAAATAAAATGTGATTTCACCTGATGATACCTGAGCAGCAGCCTTCATCCTTCTCTCCTCTGCCCCTATGGTAAAAAGAACCTTTTCTTTTGCCCAGTGAAAGATGGAGTGCAACAATTAGATTTAAAAATGCGTCTGTTCTGTTAGTGTTTTATTTTGGTTACCCAAATCCAAAGAAAAAAACTTTCCAGTACTGATCTTTGGATGGACCTCTGTTTAACAGAATTTAACATGCTGCAGTTTTCACAGCTGTCTGAAATTGCCCTCCTGTATCCAAAAGGATGCAAAGGTGGGGCTGGGACTGTCTCATTTCTCCCGCTGGCTGGCTTGTCTACTGGGCTGTCGTTGTGCTATGACTGACCTAGTACACTGGGGTATTTCATGCACTTAACATGCCAGCAGAAGTGGCAATGAATCTCTCCATCTAAGAATAGCAGGTTCGGTTATTACCTTTATGGAACTTGAATCCTCTCAGATGGAATAGAATTGTTACAATTTAAGGTAGTTTGTACAAAATTCTGATTGAAAGAGGAGACCACATTCCTTCTAAAGTGTGTGTGTGTTCTTTTATGGATCCAGTCTTCTGTAAGTAAGGCTAGAGGATCCTGCTGCTCAGAAAACACAACATCTGGATCCTTCATTAGAAGACATTTTCTCATATATAATACATTTGCTCTTATATTCTGTTACCTCGTTCAGGAAAAAGTATGAGTTTTAAACTATCTTTACTTAATGGTTCTTTTTGACTGTCACTAAGCAGAAGAGAAATATCTGCCCAGTGATCTTGGCTTTTGTGAATCCAAAGAAGGGCCTAGTTTTTATCCAGAGTTAACGATTCCGCTTGTGATCACATGTGTGAATTTTAAATTGAAACTCACAACCCTTACCAGCCTAGACAGGACTTAATTCATCAACATGAAGTCTTCATTCTGTAAAATGTGGTTGTATTACCTTTCAAACACATGCCTCTGGAAATAGATCTTGAAATATTAGTCATTCATATAAACAAACCTGAGGAGTTTTACTTCTTTTAAGCACAATTTTATACAGCTGTATATTGGCTTCTCTTTCACTAGATCATCACTAGTCTTGAATTCTTTTACCATTTCAAAGAGTTTGGGGTTGATTTAGTTACAACATTAACATAAAAAATGCTCATAATGTCATTGAAACACTCGTACCTTTTATGGCAGAAGACACATATTCTTAACTGCTTACAGCAAAGTTGTTTAAAAATTACTTAACGTTGTGATACAATAGCCTTTCTCATCACTTTATCTTTTTTCTGATATCCTTTGTAATCAGAAACTGCTTAAGTACATGATGCTTATGTGGTGAATTTTAATCTAACTTTATATGGTAGAGCCCTTCAGAAAGTTTTTTTTTTTCTCCATTTGTACTGTGCTAATGACTTTGGAATTTAAAGGTCACTGTAAAGCACAATATGTTGGCTGAAGGAGCCCATGCAATTTTAATAGTGCTTAGCAGGCTGGTGAAAAGAGCAGTCTTTAACAGTATGCATGTTCTGTGGGAGTTACTGCTTTATGATGTGCAGACATTGAAGGAAGAATGCCAGTGGACTGGAAAGTTGTTACAGCTTAATGATATCCTGCAGTTCGATAAATGCCAAGGCAAACCAACCGTGCTCATTTTCAACCTAGGATAAATTGTTTTTGTGATAATTTCTTACATGATTAAATAATGTCTTATGTCAATATGATTATTTTCTCTTGCTATTCATGTAACAGCTTGTCTATGGAAGCTTTTCCTTTTCAGTGCACTTTCTTTTGCCCTGAGAAGTTTATGCACCATGAGCAGGTATATAGCAATGAAATGTAATTAAAAATTTGTTGTCTGTGCGGGTGGGTTTTTGTTTTCATCTTCCCTCTCCCCCCCACCCTTTGTCTCCATGCTGTCAATTAAATCCAGCATTAATCAACCTCAAAATAAAAATATATTTAAGGGAGTGGCTGTTTGGGTTTTTAGGAGATATTCTCAGGATGTCTAGGGATCAGCATTCTGCCACAGGTAGTGGGTATAAGCTTAAGCCTCATGCACAGCATGTAGATTTGTTAAGATATTTCAGGAAAGAATGCACATTGCAAATGTCAACATATTGTAATGCAGAAGTAATATTGCACAGAGAATGTTAATTACTTAGAAGTTGTGGCACATGGAAAACAAGTTTAGAAATTATTACTTTCTTTTTTAAATAATTTAATGTTAACCATAAAACTCCCCAAACTTATATAGTTTTCTCTTCCCTCTAACTTCATTGCATCTTTTTTTTTTTTCTTTTCCTTGCAGAATAATAGAATATATTGTTTGATATGGACTATGAGTGTTCAGTCTGTCTCCAACTTTTAATAAAGTATCTTTGCAGGGAAGAGAGATAACTTAAATCCTCCATTTTGTGAGGTGACATGCTTTCAAGTTTGTTTTTTATTTTATGTGTGCATGTGATCTTTCCACCAAGCTGAATTTGACCTAGGTAAACTTTATTTGTCAACTTGGAGGTTTAGAGCACTCCTGCCCACTCTGATTAAAACATACCGTGTTGTCTGTTTGACTGCAAGCTCCTCATGAGTGCTGCCTTTTGAAGATACCTTGTTTGTTTTGTTGAAGTTACTACTTGCATTGTAATATTTCACATAAACTGAAATTGTATTGATAGAGCCTTGGGTGTGTTAAATAGAATTCAGCTGATGTAAGCAGCACTGATAGGTTAAGCAGTGGCAAACACTCACTGAACTGTGTCTTTAGTGGTGTATGGAAGGGTTTCCTCTTAACTTAGTCACCCAACACTCTGCTACAGCAGGAAAAAGCACTTTGCTTGCTCTCTCTAGTTTTTTTGGTTTACTTTTTTGTAATGTTGAATAGTGTTTTGGTGTTGGAAGGAGATGATGAAAACTGGTCATAGATTCATGAATGAATTGGGTTGGAAGGTACCTTAATCTAGTACCATCCCCACTGGCAGGAACACTTTCCTCTAGACCAGGTTGCCCATCCAGGCTGGGTTGAACCGGCCCATAGCAGTGATAAATTACCATGTACCAGCTCTTCTTCTGTGGTGCTGTGTACTGAAAAAATCAAATCATTATGTGCTTCAAAATGCAAATGCAGTAAGGGCACAACATGTCACCTGCCAAGTGCATTAAGAAAACAATTAAATTGATCTCTTAAATTCTGTTTTGCTCTTCCCATTTATTTTTTTTTAGAGAAAGTTCCCATTTTGTATTTTCCATAGTGCTGGAATTAGGCAAAGAGTAGGTTTTGGAAAGGCTACAGTACACATCACTGAACTATATCTGGTGCTCCTTTCTGGGGTATTTTTTTGTGTCTTTCTGTTTCCCATATGTCTTTTTCCAACCTATATGTGTCATTTGGCTCATTTAAATAAATACACAGGGAAAAATACAATTCAGTGGAAATCCACTATAAACTCCAGAG